CTTTATCAGTAAATGCACATTCAATTTAATGGAGTTTACTTTTTTTGTTTTTATTTCAAATAGTTTGTTATCTCCGTAAATAAAAATATTTTACTAACTTTTTCTTTAATTATTAGTCATTATTTGTCATCAGCAATAATTTCCTAACTATGCGTATAGGTTAATAATCACCCTGTATCTACTTTAATTGGTGCTAAACACTTTATGCAATAATTTCATAGTAAATTTTCCTAAAACATTATTCATTGGTCAGAACTATGACTTCTGATCATTTTGTTTTTTGGTTCATATCAACACATGTCTTGGTTAATTTTTAAAAGCGAAATGAACTTACCATTTTCACGAATTTTTTCGGCAAACTGTATATAAATATATCTAATTTAATTGGTGCTAAACACTTTGTGCGATAATTTCTTTGATAAATTTACCTAAAACATTATTTTTTGGTCAGAACCATGATGCCTGAGCATTTTGTTTTTTAGTTCATATCAACACATGCCTTGGTTAATTTTTAAGTGCGAAATGAGTTTACCAGCAACAATTTGCAATTTTTTCAATTATCATGATTTTTTAATGTTATTTTTTTAATATAAGGAGGGGGCTTTGGTCACTATTGGCATAACCACATTGGCAGTTACATTTTGTATACTTACTGCTCTCTCTCTACGAATTTTGAATTGATTGAGTTAATTTGACGAAAATTTGGACGGACAATGTTGAATGACACACCTCTCCTAGCTTATTTTTTAGGAAATATTAACATGAATAACTCATATTAGACTAGAAAATTCTGGATATTCAATACTAAAATTTTATTGTTATATATCCTATTAAATTCCATTCCATTCAAAACTTCTACATTCTTTATAATTGCGTATTTATAGCTTATAAATGCGATAAAGTGTACAATATTTCCTGCTTTCTTGAAATCGTTTGAAAATCGAACTAAAATGTAACATCTTGTATGCCGATAGAGTAATGTAATAAAAAGGTTTTATTATCCTTGATAGGGACGCTTGGGAATTTTTATATCGCATAGGTGCACGAATTGAATGGCCGGAGTTATCATGCTTAAAGATATTTTGTAACGTTTTCTTAAAATTTATTTTATTGTGGCCATAATTTCTCTAGACGTCATTTGTAAAAGATTGTAAAGACATATTTTAGGATTTAATACACACCTCGCTCCTTAATGAACACCTCATTAGATTGGCACGGTCATATACAGCTTGTCCTCTTCGATTGTGCTTAGTGCTAGATCTCCACAGTTACGTTGTATGATTAGTAACAAAGACTACTACTACTGCCATTACTCGCTGACGAGCATTTGACACGCATCAGAAGATGGTTACGCAAGGCGTTTTCGTTCTTGAGCTTTTCTGTGACTGAAAAGCCCGATACGTGATGTTACCTTCTCTTCCGCACTCTAGACAGTCAATAAACAATCGGTAAAAAAACTTTTAAGTTAAACGGTTTTATCTTATGTGCACTGAAAACTAGAAAATAATAATAACAATTAGGTATTTTGAACTTCTAGTTCAGAAATATTTTAGTACTAGGCAGAATAGCTTTTAGGCATATTAGACTAAAATAAAAACGTGGGGCCCCTCTGAAATCCTACCTATGGCAAAGCATATCGTTATACTTTGGTAGATCATGAGCTCGGCGTTCGCTGGTGAAGCCGCCACGGCTGGTTATTGATTGTCAAGAATCTCCAGTTACGATTATAGTAAGTCGATGCAATCCACACTTAGTATAAAAGAAAGTATTACAGCAATAGTTAATGGGCCCCACGTTTTTATTTTAGTCTATATGCCTAAAAGCTATTCTGCCTAGTACTAAAATATTTCTGAACTAGAAGTTCAAAATACCTAATTGTTATTATTATTTTCTAGTTTTCAGTGCACATAAGATAAAACCGTTTAACTTAAAGGTTTTTTTACCGATTTTTTATTTTCTATTTTTTAGTATTTAACGGAAATGCCTACCGAATATTCCTCATTCTATTTAATTCATTTAGTGCATCATTATTACATGGTTTTTTACCTCATAATTTATTACAATCTGACGCTCAGGTGTTTCTGACGCTAACAACTCTCTTTGTTTCTCTCGTTGTGATGCCAGCCTAGACTCATGACGCTCAGGTGTTTCTACCGCTAACAACTCTCTCTGGCTGTCACGTTGTGATGCTAGCCTGGACTCATGACGCTCAGGTGTTTCTGACTCTACCAGCTGCCTTTGTCTCTCACGTTGTGCTATTAACCTGGCATCATGTTGCTCAGGTGTTTCTGTTGCTAACCATTCTCTTCGTTTCTGTAGTCGACTATAGGTTTCATTTTCACTTTTTTTTGCACGTTTCGTTCTATACTTTTTTTTCGCCTTTTCGAGCCTTCTTTTTCGTTGTGTAGCAGTTTCGTTTTTATTTTTGTTTGTTTTTTTATTTATTGTTTCCATGTTGTTCCCACGAGTAATGGATATTTTAACGGTCGACCCCCCCCCAGAGGTTGAGTAGAGGGGCAAGACTATAATATACAACAAGAGCCGCCCAATCTTGAGGGGAAAACGCTTGCGACATTACATTTTTAGCCACCCTAATGCCATACAGTCCTCAGCACGTTTTAACCTATTACCTTAACTTGGGTGGTAAAGCTACTGCTAACTACGTAGGTACATCTAATACGCCATTTTGTAACGACGTCCATCTTGGATTCTAAATTTTGTCATAATCACAGTATTCTACTAGTGTAGTCCTTTCATTTGATACCCATATTGAGGGGGTTGTGGAGAAATATGAAATCCGTCATTTTGTACCGGCGGCCATCTTAGATTTACAATGTTATTGATATTACTATATTGTATTGTCATCGGAACTAAAGGTGTGTACCAAATTTCAGATCAATCTGACAACAGGAAGGTACTTAAATTTCAATTTCTGATTTTGACCCAAATAAACAAACAAATAAATAAATACCGTACGGGTCGAGCTAAATAAAACCGTTTAAAAATATCATTACTTTGTTGCCTCTTTACTTTTTATTTGTCGTTGTAAAATGAGTTTATTTAATTCTTCTCCATTGGCTTCTATTGTGAGATGCCTTCTTCCACTGATTCTGCATTGCGTATCCCTTTTTAGTTTTCGTGGAAAATATCCTTATACCTTTTGAGTTGTCCATCCTGTATCCTCTTACCATCTGCAAGCTCACTGTAAAGAAGATATTGCGGTAGGCGGTTTTCTTGCATCCTGCATACATGACCAACCGAACTTAAGCAGGATTTAGTAATCATGACTTCAGCGCTCTTGCAGATAGCTTTTTCAAGGATCGATCCGTTTGATGGTAAACCAAACCAAATGATGGTATCCTGTACCATGGTGGATCCGTTTGATGGATGGTGGTACCATTTGATTCTTAACAGTTGTCTTAAGGCTAAGGACATGGTGGAGCGACGAGGATAGCGGCTAGCAAGCAGCGCAACATCGGGTCTAAAACAAACCTGTGAGGACAAGTTCGTGTGAACATAGTAAAGCAATATGCTCGGGCGGTTAGATCGAACGGCGAGATCGATTCAAATAATTTTGTTTTCGTCGCTCTGTCGCGCTGTAGAAAACGATGGATTCCCAAAAATTAATAGATTTAGTTTTTGTAAGAGATATTTTATTTTATGGGACTAAAAAGATAGTATAATCACCATAACCGGTACATTTTAGATAAGTTATGAGATGAAGTGGCAACAAATTTTCGTAAGGGTTATTAAACTTGCCACACTCTCTCCGGGTTGTGAAAATTTCAAGGACACTACACCTTCTGGTTTGTTAGTTTTGAATAAATCAAATGCTTGCGACACTACTGTCCAGAATTTTAGCCACTGGTAACATTTTAAATAATCAATAAGCAAATGAAAATAATAAAGTTGCAAGTACCTCGCTATTCCTCGCCGCTGTACTTTGTTTCAGCACTTGCTCGCCGCTATCCTCGTCGCTCCACTATGTTCTTAGCCTAATATGTCTCTGTCCGCTGAACATGCTTTAGTATATTTGTTTCATATTTTATTAATTCAAATTAATCATGATCATACCATGAGGCCAACCTGAGTAATATGAACTCTTTTCTATATTTATATAAGATTTTTTTTATTTAACATTTTTTTTCAATTCAAATTTCGTCTAAAAATGGATTTATTCGATACACCCCAGTAAACATATTTTTTGTCGTATTCCGTTTCATCCTTTGTACTGACTATTTCCAAAGGTGTATTGTTCGATACAATTTATTTTAAGCAAAAGCAAGATAGGAAAACGCTTTCTTTGTACCGAAGAGGAAAATTTTCCGATCTTTTTCTATAATTTTTCTCTGCCGTCGGCAAAGCGGATTCTTCAAAGGTCTTCCCGCTCACAATGCACCTGAATCGTGGGTCGCTTTAAAGAAATTTCATCATCCTTGCACCAATCTCGAGTCAATTTTTCCGAATAATAAAATTTGATATTTTTCCATCCTAGTGGTGATTGGTGGGGCGAGTGAAATGAAATGGGAGGATATTTTTCGTGTTTTTTGCATGGCACAATATTTACGATATTCATTTCTCTATTTCTGGGAGAAATAACAATAAAAACAGTAAAAAAGCATATTATGATCGTTCTATTCCAGTGATCAAGGGTTGTTTTAACATCAAACCACCTAGTTTAAAAGTGATGTATTTTATTTTATTTTAATTAATCAGGTAATTTTGCTTTCCATATTTTTTTTCATAAACTGCACTGAAAATGAGCATAAGCATTTTTATTTTGAATGTTGGCAATCAAATCTAAAAGCTGCATAACCAGCTTTCAGGTTTGATTGCCATTTTGGCAATTTTTTTCGTTTCTCGAGAATTTTCGAGGCAGAAATCGTAGAATGTCCTAATTCTAAATATTCTATACGAACATTTATTAATATTTGTTTTATATTGCTTAATTGATTATTTTCAGTGACAATTTCAATTAAGACCTATAACATTTATTCCAGGTTGCTCCTAGCTGTATAGGATCTCCTTGCGCCTTTGGCTGTACTTCTTCAGGGGGTGGTTTTAGCTGTGGGTGTCCTCAAGGATACCAGCGTATAGGTCAAGGACATTGCTTGTCAACTGTCACGCCTGCTTTGGCTAGTTACGACATAGGTGACGTTCCTACTTACCCCATAGAAGAACAGAGATACGGCAGTGCGTCCAATGACAAACTTATCACGACTGAAGGGTGCTTTTCATGTCAGGTGAGTCAGTCATAAAGAGGTTTCCGTATAGCATTTATTTCTTAATACTGCTTTATTTTAAGAATTTAATTTTAATATTACAGTTGAATTTTAAGATGATTTTTTTTCTTTAAGAGAAGTTAAAAGTTTATTTAAAAACGAATATCTAATTTAATATCTACTAAAAATTGATTTTGAACAAAACGAACAAAACGAACAAAACGAACCAATGGATATTTTAAATTTGTTAAAAAAATGTCATGGTTCCAAACTTAATTTTCTATTAATACATTCCTTGATTAAACTCCATATTAGAGTAGGCAAGTGAAGGGATATAAATAAGGGATGTAAAATCCAATATTGGAAAGCGAGGGTAGAAACAGAATCCAAGATTTAGCCCCTGTCTTTCAGCTGACCGATTTACGGGTTTAATCGAGTTAAAGGCATGATCTTAAAAGCGTGGATACGGTTTGCACGCCTGTACGTCAGCTGTCAATGTTCGAACGAACGGTTAAGGTTTCTCTCTTGGAGCGAAAGCTCGAGGTAGTCAAGGAATATACAAACTGCATTTACTTATAACTGGCAACTAAGTTAAACTCACGAGCATGAAAAACGGACACCTTAAAATTTTGATGTAGTTTATAGTTTTATATATTGTGTTTCAGTGGACCGATTTTGATGATCTTTTGAGCAATTTGTAGCTACATAAATTACTTGACTAAGAAGCATCTCTTTCTAAATTAAAAATGAAAGAGAGTTTTCATCTTGCAATAATAATAATAATAATATAATAATAATATATATTTATTTATCCACAAATATGATCAATATACATTGAATTTGGACACGTCAAATAAAAGCAATTATACGAGGGAACACAAACTGTTATTTTGGTTTGGAACACTCTGTGGAATTATGTTAAAAAGGCAAGGAATTTTATGATCTAGTTGCATCTTTTCTCGATAGCTTATTTTTTGGTTCATCTCGATAGCTCTTTTTTTTAGATATTTGCTTTTCAAGAAGACACTAACACATTTTATCATAATTTTTACATTAAAACCGCGCCTTTGCTTTTGGTCCCAGTCAACAGTCCTATGAAATAGTGTTTATGATTTATGTAATGTCAATGTTATTGAAAAATCATATTATTGTATGTTGTCTGCTTCTGCTAACCTAACCAGAAGCTGTATCCGCTATAGTTGCTTTAATTGAAGATGATAGATCGAGGGCTGAGAACCTTAAGGTCGACATTTTTTTTGCATGAAGGCGACATTTGCCAGGCATTTTTGCATGAATCTGTTCTATAGATCGTTATCTTTAATTTGCTGTAAAAATGTCTTTAATACGTTGATCTTCGTATTCAACTCGAGAAGATCGATTTATTGTAAGTTTATGCCTAAGAAACCGCCGTTTTCAAATTTGTAATGAATTGCACCTAAAAAACGTACATGTAAGTGAACGTACTGAAGAAGGAAGGTTAAATGAAGCAAATCTTATGTCAAGAAGGCCTGCTTCGGGGTCACAACTTACTAGGTCTGTTGACTAGGCCCAAAAGCAAAGGCATAGTTTAATGTAAAAATTACAAAAAAAATGTTAGTGTCTTCTGCAAAAGCGAATATCTCCAACAAAAATAAAGCTATTGAGCCGAACTAAAAAACGCTCTATTGATAAAGAATATACCTAGGTTACTAAATTATTTTGAAATTCCTTGCTGTCTTAACATATTCCACAGGGTGTTTCAAATTTCCACCAAAATATCAACATTTTGTTTTCCTTCATATTTAATTGATCAGGATGGGAACTTTCATTTTTAATTTAGAAAGAGATACTAAAAATTCAAATAATTTAACTTCATATCGCTTAAAAAATCACATTGATCAAAATCAGCTAATTATTAATTAATTAATTATTCGAAAATATATGTTTATTGTTTTCCGGTGTATTGCCGCTCTAACAGCAAAACTGTACCTATTGAGTTGGTTAGGTTAGGTTAGGTTTAGGACAGTTTTCCTGTCTTTGCTTATCTGGTCTGCTATAAATAAAAAGATGTCCTACTATACCGGGTGGTGCATTGTCGTTGGAAATATAGCAAATCCAGTGCAAATTTTGAACTGTCCAAATATTGGCTGCCCTATTATTACATCAAGATCGTAAATAGGTTTTTTAAATGTCAAATTTGCCAAATTTGAATAATTTTGAACAAGCCGATTTTAAGTAATTTAAGAAAAACTGCTTCTATTTTTAAATTAAAATTGAACAGGTTAGCAAAACCAGTCTAATGTCAATATAACTTAAATTGTCAACCTATGATTTTATCATTGTCAAATGTTATTTGTTGTGCTGTCTATACTTCTACGTTATAATACCCTACGCTTAGTGCCCTAAAATGTATTTTTGTAATTTAAAACTAGTTCGAATGAGGAAAAGCCTAACGTTTAGAAAATACAATTTGACATTGACAAGATTATAGGATGACAACTTAAAGGTATGTTGGCATTTGCCTGGTTTTGCATTGTCACCTGTTCAGTTTTAATTTAAAAATAGACCGGTATGTTCCTACTAATTGTTCCGTCGGCCACTGTCCTGGTGAATTTTTCCACTACTCTGGATATTTCTTGGTCATCCGCTGTTTATTAGCTATTAAACTAAAAAAAATCCATTCGCTTTTTTGAAATGTTATCTCAATTTAATTAATTCAACAAATAACCGGATTAGGGCTAATTCTAGACAGATATGATTAAATACAGAAGAGACTTAAAACTAAAACCTGGATAAACTGGATAACTACCGCATCCAGTTGAAAGTAGAAAAAATCTAAGGGGATTTAGATAAAACAATCCTTTGTCGGCCGGTTAAAACTTGGAATGGGATTTGACAGCATTAGTTCGGCTTTGCGCGCCTGTATGTTTATTAAGTTTTCGCTTAAAACGGGACCTAAGAGAAATAAGTAAACATAGAGCAGTATTTACATAATATAAGCGCAGTAATATACCTATTATCACGTAGGAAATGTACAAAACGATTGAAAATGTTAGCTATTCCGATTTTGTTCAATTGGCTGACAATAAATTCCAGAAATTAGCTTAGTGTGGAAAAATATTTCTTGTTTCGGCCCTACTATTCCAACTCTTATACCTTTCGATGTTCCTGAGCCGTCTGTATACCAGGTTGCCTCAGCTTGAATGGGTACACCTTTTATCAAGTCTTTCCTTTCTGCATCTAGCGGTATAGCAGATGTTCTCTTCTATTGCATTTACTAATGACTCAGTAGTAGCATTATTGAATGCTCCCTCAATATATAATTCCATGTAAGTCTTTGATCAAAATAGGCACCAAGATATTTAGTTTCTTTGGCAAAGAAAATATTTGTATCTCCTTGTATCCACCTCTATGTTAACTTATATCTCTAAGGACGGGACTAGACGCGCTTAGTCGTTAGAAGTTGCGACAGTGCTGCCAACAACGGCTCTAATTGCAACTGGAGATGTTGCTGCTGCTCGGGATTAAGTGAATTAGCGCAGTTATTATGGAGTTTTAAATTGTTTTCCACTTAGTTTTGATAAAATACGCGGCAAAGTTTGTTTTTTTATTAACAGTTATGATAACTTTAAACTTGGTTTTTAATAAGTAAAATAATTCTTTAATTTGAAGCCTCAGATTGATTATTTAATAACCTAAAACAATATCTTTTTTTGAACTTGGTTGCGTAATTTTTTTAAGGTTTTACAGCACAAAAGTACTGAGAATGGTGAATATCATCCAGTTAAGACGTAACGTAAGTATTATTGCAGGCAACAACTTCAGATAAGATATTTTCAACGTTACGAAGAAATAGAATTTGTTTTATACATAAAATGGCCGTTCAAGAGCAAAGTAAAGCTTCCCACTGCCACAAGATGACTATAAAGTATATAAATAACCTTAAATATGACATTAATAATATAACTGAAAATAAATAGATCTTTCAGCGTATTTAGTAATTAGCTAGAAAACATTGGTAATTATAAAAAAAGTAGAACTAATAGTTAATTATTGAAGGTATTGCATATTTTCTCTATACAAAAGAGAACTAAAAAATACCAAATTATTCTAAAAAAGCAATGTTTTGTTAATAATTTTTTTAATAATTATTTAAATATAGTTTGGATTTCAGGACAGTTCTTGTATTTTTAATATTTTTTTTTAAGAAAGTTTGAAAAATGTCTATTTTTATTTATTTATTAATATCTCTGAAACAATCGAAATGTATTTATGGGTCTGGTCCACTTTAGGTACATCAAAATTTTAAAATTTTCTATACAGAATTGAGGAGAGGAACACTTATAATGACATTTTCTAACAAAAAAATTGTGGATCGTCCATAAATAACACCAAAAACAAATCCCCCAAAAAGAATGTTGTAACCAATGCAATCGAAACTCAGTTACGGCGGACGTTTTTACCATTGTGATCCTCTTCTCAACCTTTAACACAGATCAAAATATAATATCTATTCTCATCAGCTTAATATCGCTACCGCTATTTTTCAAAATTAATAGGAAAGTATAGATAAAACAAAATTCCGATTTTCAATATTTCATTGTTACCGCCAGCGATATACGCAGACGCGAGCAAAAGACAAATAAACCTAAATCTGCATCTTCCTTGTCACTCTTATTAAACTTAATAAGGAAAGCTATATTCTAACCCCAAAAAATAAATAATTTTATTGCAGAAATCTCAAACATTTAGCCGAGTATCCGTACGATATCTACTTAAAACGTTAAAACATTAATTGTAGAATATATTAATATCAAATTTACATCAATAACTTCAAGATTGACGACGTACCTAAAGTGGACCATCACCGTATTTATTTATATCTTAGGATTATGTAAAGTGATCTGAAAGGAAGCCAAAAATGCAATAATATACAGAGTGTTCCAGTTAAAAAAAATCATTCCAATCAACCCACACTGTTTTCCACCTTAAAATATTTTCTTGGAATACATCCTCGTATATACTTTAGATTTACACTTAAA